ACCTACCGTCGCACAAGATCCCAGTGCCTCCAAGTGACGGCGAGGGCGGGGAGCATCGATCTTCAACGATTCCTTTGGGCAGCGGTTCCACGCTGGATTGGATGGGGAGTCAGTTCTTCATACGACTGACAACTCTGACGTACACAGAGTTGCTCGAAGCACAGACTCGGGATGCATACGACGCTATGGTTGTTGATCTCAGCTTTGGTCTCAATTCCGGTAGTGGGCCGGCCGTCACACACATCGTGGTCGGCAACCCAGCTACGAGCGAAAACTTGGCGAAGTCGACGTTGAGGGTGGGAGGGGTTTTCGAGATCCTTGGATCCTATTCACTGGAGGTGTTGGACGACCGTGATTTCTTTTCATCATTGAGGGGTGGTGTGAGGAGCACGGCAGGCGCGGGCGCTTCAAGGATGAAGACAGCAGGCGCGGGGGCCTATTGATTGGCGACATGCGACGATGTGATCCATGGACAAGGGGACATCAAGGATTGCTCTGCTACTGAGGTGGTAGTGCGGCAAGTTTGGAGGGATCATCAGATGCGGCAAGCGAACACTTTCGACATAACGAAAGGGGTGACCGGCATGCACATCAGAGGCAACGATATCTTTGTGGGTTGCGATGGTGGGGGGTTTGATGAGGGCGATCGTGATGACGGCGAAGATGACGACGTTGACATGGAGATTCATCCAGTAGAAAGGAAGAGAGACGGATGTTGGGGCAGACAGAAGGCAGCGGAACTTCGCGGTGGGCGACAAGGCAAGAAGGTTGTACAAGACAGTGTCGCGGGCGACGGGGTAAAAAGCAGGGATTTGTGAAGCGTTTACCATATCATTGCTCTCGTTCGAGCGGAAAGAGACCAGGATTTGCATCTTGTCGGCTTGGGCCACAACTACGGACGCATGGGGACGAAGAACTGGAAGTGGGACGACGTCGAGAAGAGGATGAAGCAAATGGGAGTGTCGAGCAAAAAGGCTGTGGACTGCGGGGAAAAATGCGACAACCTTTTCCAGCAGTTCAAGACCATGTACAAGTTCATGGGTGAATCTGGGAAGGAGGACTTTTTTGCACTAACGCCACAGGAGAGGAAAGAGAAAGGCTTCGAGTTCTGAATGGATCGGCGTGTGTATGAGGAGATGAAGGCGATGACGAGGGGCGATCACACTATCCACCCCGCAAATCTTGTTGACATATGTGCGCTTCGAGGGGTTCAGATGCCGACCCCCAGTGCCTGTAAGAACGAATCCGTGGCTAGCGAGGGAGGTGGGGATGGACAGGACGACGAGAACGGATCGACGAAGGAGTCGTCCTTCAGCGTGGGGAGCGGGGGCGGGGGCAGCAAATGGAAGAATGTGAGAGAGCAGACCTTTGAGGCGGTGGTCGATGTCATGGACACGCAAGGGCAGTTGATGGTGATGATAGTCGACGGCGTGAGCAAGAGGCAGTGCTCCGTTTTGACGAGGCATTGTGACATTCTGGAGAGGGAGGTGGATGCGCAGAAGGAGCACTATAAGAAGGCCGAACATGCGAACTTTATGATATGCAATGCCCTCCTGGAGATTGTGAAACCCGTCCGCGAGAGGTCTTGATGTCGTGCGCATTTTCATCTCTGAGGTCTACCCGTCCACCACGTGTGTTGGTCATAGGCCATGTTTTTTATCGACGTTCGTCAATTGTCGTAACTTTTTTCTCGTGTTCACGTGTTGTCGTGAACATGGTCGCCGGCTCGGGCCACACGCGGCCCTTCACTCCGGGAGGGTCCTCCAGTAGCGACTCCTCACGTAGGTGTGATTTTGTGTACATTACGGTACTGCGCAGTCCCTGTCATGGATGCGTTGTCGCCATCGCTGTATGTGTTCCACTGTGATGCAGGGTTGGTTTTGTAGGGATAAAGGGGGCGATGTCCTTCTTCTGCCTCCCGGGTTGGTATTTTTGGATTTTTTGTTGACGAGGAATGACAGTGATGTCCATCCTTGCATCATCGTCACTACATCTTGTCATGTCCTCGTCAAGGCGTGTATTATTGTAAATCAATTTTTCAAAAATGACATTTTTTTTTATGTGATGCATTCCCACTCTCAGTGGTTGGCTCGCCGGTCTGCTCTCTGGTGCGCGACTGGAATTTCGTCCAACGAGGCCCGTCGATGGGGGCAAAAGCTGAAAAAATCATGTGTCAGGATAAGAACGAAGTAATGAAGTTCGATGCAACAGACAAGGGTGACTTTTTTTTTTTTTTTTTTTTGCCGCATCCCGCCACTGTACTTGTGAAATGCTTTCATGTTGCCCATAACATTGGTGCACACTAGTGACGAAAAGCGGAACGACGGGATAGGAAAAAAAAGTCCGCTGATGAGTTCATGACGTGGGTGTATCGAAAGCAAATTTATGCTGTTGCGCAATGGAAGTCGGTTTGTGTTTGGTGGCATTATTTCCGGACTGTTTCAATTGATATATATGTGCTTGAGTACGGAAAAGCGGCGTTTTGTTGCGACACACACACACACACGACACACACACAGCAATGTCATTCCACACTCCAATTCAGTTGTCGTGACGAATGACACCGCCAAACTCTCTTTGCATGTCTCAAGGGAGATGTGGTAGGACGTACTTTTGTTGGTTGGGAGCATGTGCACATGGTGGACATCGTCCCCACAAACCTCCCGGAGGTGGTGATGGGAGAACACATCACGGCGTGAGATTGGACACATTGACGTCCTCTTGGGCAAGGTGAAGAAGGCCCGTTTCACCGTCTTCATCGGTTTTAAAGGCAAGTGCATTCGTGAAGTGGCTATTGTTGTCGAGAAAACTGGAAGTGCCCTCTCCGAGCGGGAGTCGTTGGAGGTTGACCCTCTATAGGCTTTGCTTGAGCCCTTTGTCCCCGCCATCGATTTCGATTACGAATTTGAAGGGTTGGTCCACAAGGATGCATCGTACATGACCATCGTTGTGCTGCCATTGGAGGATAGACCGTACATAACCAGTCCGGTCAGGGTCGGTGATCATGGGAGCACGTTCAGGTATTACCAGGAGCCTACTTCTCCTTGACCATGGGGCGTGTCTTGCGAGCACCTGATGCCGGGGCCTCCTTCACCCATCGTTCGGCAGGGCATGGTTGTTTGTTGTTGTGCATTGGGGAGAATGCAGAAGAGGTAGGTAGGTGGAAGGGGGGGTGGATGGGAAGGGGGGGGGAGAGRTGGKRGGCSGGSGGGGGGGGGGGRGGGGGGGGGGGGGGGGGGGGGGGGGCTTGCAGGGCGGGAGGGATAGGACATAGATCTTCTAAATCTCTAGCATAGGTTCGAATCCTATTGGGTGTAATGAGAAAAAGGGTTCTATCAAGTCATTTTTTTCTTTAGCATCAATTTCCCCCGAGGATTCATCCTCAGACCCCGAGGACAGCCTGAGGAGTGTCTAATGAGGCCCTATGGCCAATCCCACACTCTTCTCTTCTAATGTTGGCCATACCCCCAAAGGATTGAAAAGATTTTGGCGAGAAGCTTCCTTTGCACCAACATGCAACATACTGACTGTTGGATCACGAGTACTGCACGGCAGGATTTGGGTCACTCAACTGCCACACAAACTCTTTTCTATCCTACCATGCTCCTGCAAGCAGAGCTACCTCTCACAATTATGGGGATGCATGTTGCCCCCCGCCCTAATCGGCGGTGGTCACAGTCCATTGAACCTTTTTTTTTTTTTTTTTTTTTTTTTTTATGAAGTGCTGGGAACGGGGCCCAGCATCCCATATGGAATTATACAAATGATTTGAAATACCAGGGCCGTTACCTGGCTTCAGCTAAGAACAATCTGAGAACTATGAAAAGAGTTCAAGAAAAGTTCAAGAAAACATGAATAACTGCTGACCTGCCGACCTATTTCTAGGCTATTCAAGCAGCAGTTACTAAAAAAAGAAAGCCACAGAAGTCCTCCGAATGCTCAGGACCCCTGGAATCCCCAACAAAACACTCTAAGATTCTCTAATACTGTCTTATTCCCTGCCAAGCTCTCCTAGGCCTCATGCCCCCAACCTGCTAGGTTACAGGGCAACACGACTCACCCCAGCTCTGGCCAGCGTCGTCCCGACAGCAACCCTTGGTTTTCCCTTGGAATGCCCGGCCCAAGGCATCCCCAGATCTCTCGACCAGGCCTCACGCTCCTGCTATCAACAGGTTACAGGGCAATCCCCCAGCACCGGCCAGCGTCGTTCGGGCATTGAAAAACGGCAGACCAATGAACCTAATGCATCAAAGAAGCATAAAATGAGTTGCAAGGAGTACCCAGAGTCCTAAGGCATTCTCAAGACTGCCAAAAGCAACCAAGAACCAAATGAGAACCTCTGTTTTTGAGCTCTTTTTGATGATGAAAAGTTTCTCAAAAAATTCAGATCTGGATGTACAAGGGCTACATCACTATGATTTCGGTCACACATACCTGTTCAGTAAATCCCCTGGAGACAGGGCAATCAATGCTGGCAGGTCTCAAAATCAAGGATCTTGACTATGGGGCTCGTTAGACACTCCTCGGGCGCTCAAAAATCCCGAGGAAATGATCGTTCCATCTGTCCTCGGAGAGAGTTCCTTGGAAACGGATGTGAAAACATTTCCTCGGGGCGACCTCGGGCCGTCCTCGGGCTACAGGCATTTGGCTGTGTTCCCCAAGGTACCTCGCGAGGTCCCTCGGAGCGGGAGTTTCCACGAAATTCGGGACGGCGGCGGCACTCTTCGATGACGTCATAATTTTGTAGTCTGGTACATTGCTGGTCCAGCCGAGGTGCGGGCGGACATTAGCGGCCGGCAACGTTCGACTCCGGCGGGAACGACCGCAACGGTAAGGTTGGGTGGCGGACGGGGTCCCTGGCCGTTGCCGGTTTATCCCGGCCCCTCACCAGCGCCGGCGGGAAACGGGAAGGCCTCCAACGGCCAGCCGTTTCGAAAATGACAGCGGCGCACGTCCGTCACCGTGCGCAGTGGTCCGCAATGTAAAGCGGCAGAGGGCGTCGGCAGTCGTGTGGTTGTTGTCTGCTGTTTGCCGCCGTCTGGGTAGACGTTACGTTGTCGTGCGTTGTCGTCGTTAGTTGCCCTTGCGAGAACGGTTGTGTTACATGGCTGACGTGCTCCGCAAGCTGCCGCTGGTCCTCCTCGTCGTGATTCTGCTTGTAGTTGTCGTCTTTGTTCAGGTGTGCATATTGGGGAGGTTTCCTTCACGTACTCGCAGGAAACGAGGGGTGAGGAAGAGCGTGGCCATGGACGGGCGGCGACCGAATCTTGCCACGTTGTCGGACACTTATCCCAGCCACCGGCCTGCAATCTGCACCGGTGTAGACAGAAGGGCGGCAGGTCTGTCGACGTACGAAGGACTCCCGCCTCACATGCAGCCTCTGCCCGATTCGGACGAGGGGGAGGCAGACATGGACGTGTCCAACACAGTTCCGCTGGGTAGCGGGTCGACCCAGGAATGGACGGGTAGCAAGTTGTTTGATGGGCGCGGAGCGAAGTACAGGCAGTCGTTCACTTCCCTCCTCCACGAAGGTGCACAGGAAAAGGAACGCCTCCCCCCTGTGGATCTCACATTTGGCCGGCGGAGCGGGAACCCATCTTCTGCCACGCGCACTGTGCTCGTGAACCCTCATCCCGACGACGACGCGGGGCAGGTGACATTGGTCGGCAGGGGCACGAGGGGTGGTTCTGCGCGTCAGGAGACGTCCGAGAAGACGAGGGAGCGGCCTCNCGACGACGACGCGGGGCAGGTGACATTGGTCGGCAGGGGCACGAGGGGTGGTTCTGCGCGTCAGGAGACGTCCGAGAAGACGAGGGAGCGGCCTCGAGTGCAGGCGACTTCTGGCCCGTCAATTCCACGCACCACCGCTGGTCACCCTGAGTGGATGAACCCCCCTCCTGCGTTCTCCAGGGGCCGCGACACCGTTCCTCGTCCACTTGAACGGGGTGTGAGTGCCGAAGAGCTCCCTTTCGAGGGCGCGTGCGGAGATGGCAGGCGGGTATGGAAGGAGTCGAGGCAGGAGTTGCGGCGGCAGCAAGAAGAGTCCATAACGCAAGGTGTGCAGCGATTACACGTGGGCGAGCGGGCCGGGCAAGCAGACGCGGTTGGCGGGGGGGGTGACGTCTGGACAGACGGTGACGAAGTTGAGTGCGACGCTGAGGAGGACGACAGCAGCGACGTGTTCCCGTTGCGTGCGCCGAACATGGGTGGCAGGGGCGGCAGAGGCAGGGCTTCGACGAATGCTGGGCGAAGGCGGAAGAGGCCGTCGGCGGCCTCTGCTGATGCGGAAGGTGAGGGGGATGGGGAGGGTGGCCGGAATTTCTGGTCTGTGGATCACATGGTGGCCCTCATAAGGGCGAAGCGGGATCAGGACGCCCAACTGCAAGCGGCGGGGCACACATTCGCTCGGATGTGGTCGAGGGAGTGGAAATGGTTGGACGTCCGAGAGAGGTTGCTGAAGGTCGGTGGTGATAGGCCGGCAGACAAATGCGGGAAAAAATGGGATAATCTCATGCAACAGTTCAAAAATATCCATACTTTCATGGGCATGTCAGGGAAGGAGGACTTCTTCCAGTTAACGAGTCAGCAGAGAGCAGAGAAAGAATTCAGCTTCAACATGGATCGGGCCGTCTACGAGGAGATCAAAGGGGCGAAGGAGAGGAGCCACACTATCAGCCCGAGCAATGTTGCAGACACCGGTGGCGCAGGAGGTGTGCAACTCCCATCTGCTCAGTCGGCGACTCCGGAGTCTGTGGGTGACGGGGATGCCGCTGGAGATGGTAACGACGAAGACGACAACTCAGCGCGTGGGGCCTCATAGACGACTGGAAGTCCGGCCGATTTCGGAAAGAGGAAAAACGTGCGGCAGCAGACATTCGAGGCCTTAAGCGAGTGCATGGAGAAACATGGGGCGTTGATGGCGTCGACGATGGAGAGCGCGAGCATGAGGCAATACGAGGCGATGGAGAGCGTGAGCAAGAGGCAATGCTCCATTCAAATTCGGCAGTGTGAGGCTATCGAAGCTGAGCTGGAGGTCCAGAAGCAACACTGCGCTGCGTCCAATGAAGTTAGCAAGCTTATGTGTCAAGCGCTGATGGAAATAGCGAAGGCTATACGAGAGCGGTAGAGGGGAACGTCAGCCACAGGGCATTTTTCGGCTATGGATGTCACTCTATTGCGACGCTCGTGTCGTGTACTTAAGTCAGATGGAGTTCATTCGCACTCGTAGTTCATTTCGTGCCATGGGTTTGTTTTCGGTTTGTGTCTGTAGAGTAGTGGCAGATTGCTTGTCGTGCGCGTACATTTGTCGGTCTGCCCGTCTTCTCCGTGGATTTATTCCATTGTTCATTGTGGAGCGCGGATTGCCCCTGTTTTTGTACTGATTTGTTTATCGCTTCGGACGTAGTTGTAGTGTGCTCGTAATCGGGAGGTGGTCGGGTGATCCGACCACACTGCGATGATGAACTTGGCGGGTATACCTTCTTGGACGACCGTTTGATTCATTTCTTCAGTTTGCGAAGTGCATACATAGAGAGAGAGAGAGTTGGAAATTTGTTATTGTTGGCTCCCATTGCCGAATTTGGCTTCCAGTTTGTGTCACCGACGATGCACTTGTTCAATGTATGTGTTCCCTTGTCCTCTGTGTATTGGTTTGTTAAAAAGAGAGAGCGAGAGCGAGCGAGAGAGCGAGAGAGAGAGAGAGAGAGAGAGAGAGAGAGAGAGAGAGAGAGAGAGAGAGAGAGAGAGAGAGAGCTTTTGCGAGAGAGAGAGAG